AATTTGAACGAATTTTCAATGATCTTTTTGGTTTGCCCAATACAATACCTACATACATGATTACAATCTTTACAAGATATTTTTATTTTCTGGGTAAAATGATCTTCGCTGCACTTACCAATGTTTATGATATATACAAATCTGAGTATCTGTGCAATTGAAAATTTTTCCAGTTTAGCAAACCTTCACTCAAGAATAATCCATTACCAAACTAATTACTGAATCTGGCCGCAATTTTCCACCAATAAATTGATACTCCGGGCACAAATTCGCACCACCAATAAATTGATACTCCGGGCACAAATTCGCACGTATACGGCAAAGTACAAGTAAACCATATAAGGCAACGCTTACCTTACATAAAATTAAATGTTGACGCCAAGAAGTGAGCTCAGTTCTCGGATCCCAAAACCTGGAAACGAAAGTAAAACTCCCAAGCCGCAGAGAAATCTTCCCCCCACTACTACTACTATGACTAAGGTCAACGTTCCATCATAAACTTTCCCCTAACTATCTCAATGGTAGTTAATTTTTGATTTTTATCAAAACTGCCAATTACAATCGGCGGTTCATTTTGAAGTGAAGGCTCTGTATAACTGGTAAACGGAGGGAATATACAATTTTGTTAGTTAAAATCAATACTTAAGTATAAATAAAAAAATGTGATATTTATCTTTAAACAATTACCTTAAATCAACAAGTTTCAGCAACTAATTATGATATCTTCTTAAGAGCTAGAACTTTGAGAAGAAAGTTAAAAAAATCTTGGAGCAAGAGAAAAATAGATAATATATTTTTTTGTTATGTTAGATCCCATATGCATATTCTATAAGTAATGCACCTCTTCCCCTTTTTCATAGGACTCCAATAAACTATAAAGCAATCGAATAAAACTAGAAAAAGTGATATGCATGAAGAAGTTACGTTTAAAGACCTCTATTTTTATGTCTTGCTCTGAGATAATCGACACTTAACGTTTGAACGTTATTAACCTAAGTTACATGACACCACCACACACTACAGAATTAATATTTAACTTAAAGAGAAATGTGTTCCTTCTAAAAACATGTGTTGTTTTCACGAACTTATAAATTAAGATGGACTGCTAATGCTGAATTGACAAATGACACCTACATGGGGGCAGCCAAGATGTGCACTCGCTTGGCGCAAAATTCAAATCAACTAATAAACAAGCATTAACCTCACGTTTTCTAAATAAATTACTGTTACATATGTTAATTTCCAAGGCTGCAATAGTCTCAAAACTTGAGCACTAGGAAAATTCCCTTAGAAAATAACTAAAATGTGCACATCATGGCCGCGCCCATGCCGTTTCTACCTCTACGCAACTGTTTCATCAGCAGTCCATCTTAATTTATAAGTTCGTGGTTGTTTTACACTTGCAATTAGCACATTAAACAACTTAAGACACGTTATGTTTTAAAAGGTGTCTTTTAAAGTACTGTTTGTCACTTGTCTCGTAATCACAATTAGCACATTTAAATTCTTTAGAAACAGTATGTTTTAAAAGGTGTCGCTTAAGCTGTTGTTTAGTACTTGTTCTATATTGACAACTGGTACATTTAAAATCTTTAGATCCTTTATGTTTTAAAAGGTGTCGTTTAAAATATTGTTTGTCACTTGTTTCGTAATCACAATTAGGACATTTCAATTCTTTACAATCGGTGTGTTTTAAAAGGTGTCTTTTAAAGCAATATTTAGTATTTGTCTCATAATCACAATTATTACATTTAAAATCTTTAAACTTGGTATGTATCAAAAGATGTTGTTTAAAGTAGCGTTTGTCATTTGTCTCATAGTCACAATTAGGACATTTACATTTTTTCGAATCGGCATGTTTTAAAAGATGTAGTTTAAAGTATTGTTTATCATATGTCTCGTAATCACACTTAGCACATTTAAAATCTTTAGAATCAGTATGTTTCAAGAGGTGTCGTTTAAAGTAGTGTTTGTCATTTGTCTCGTAATCACAATTAGCACACTTAAATTCTTTAGAATCGCTATGTTTTAAAAGGTGTTGTTTCAAATGGCGTTTGTCTTTTGTCTCATAATCACAATTAGCACATTTCAAATCGTTAGAATTGGTATGTGAAAGGTGTCGTTGAAAGTAGGATTTCTTATATGTCTTGTAATTACAATTGGCAGATTGAAAATCTTTAGGACCTGTATGTCTTAAAAAGTGTTGTTTCAAGTAGTATTTGTCATATGTCTCATAATCACAATTAGCGCATTTAAATTCTTTAGAATCGGTATGTTTTAAAAGGTGTCGTTTAAAGCAGTATTTATGATTGGTCTCATAATCACAATTAGTACATTTAAATTCTTTAGAAACGGTATGTGTTAAAAGGTGGTGTTTAAAACGGGATTTCAAATATGTCTTGTAATTACAATGAGCACATTTAAAATCGTTAAAATTGGTATGTTTTAAAAGATGTTGTTTGAAGTAATGTTTGTCATTTGTATTGTAATCACAATTAGCACATTTAAAAACGTTACAATCAATATGTTTTAAAAGGTGTCGTCTAAAGCACGATTTATCATTTGTCTTATAATCACAACAAGCACATTTAAATTTTTTAGAATCGATATGTATTAAAAGATGTCGTTTAAAGTGGGAGGTAATGTTTGTCTCGTAATCGCAATTAGCACATTTAAAATCTTTATAATCTTTATGCTTTAAAAGGTGTCGTCTTAAGTTGTGTTTGATATTTGTCTTGTAATCACAATTAGCACATTCTAGTACATTTTGCAATTGCTTATCTTTTGGTTCATCTTCACAATGAGCATAGTTAAAGGCTTCAGAAACATTATGCTTGAAAAGATGTTGTTTAACTTGCAGCTTTCCATTTGTTGGGTGTTGACCAAAGTCACATTCAAAATGGTTGGAAATTTGAGTTTTAATATTCCATCCACAATCAGTTTGTTGTTGTACTGCTTCATTGTCGAGCGATTTGGAGCACTGTCCAGTAATTTCGTCCTTTATTGTAACCCACTCTTCGTTGCTTACTACAATGGTTCCTTCAAGATCAGAATAGATTTCTTCTTCATGTTTTGGTTCGATTTTAATGAGTGGTATGACATCTTTTCCGTCCATATCTAGTATCAATAAGGTTATCAAGACAATTATGTTTTTGTTTATAAAAAATAAAGTTTAGTATTAATTAAACAATACAAATTTCTTACCAGCTTACATATTTAACATGGCTTACAGACGTAAATAAAGCACTCGCTGTAGCTCAAGTACTGGTAAAGGGCGGAGCAATGGTTTTTGTAGCGATAGCCTTAGGGCAGATACTTTTACTTTTGGCTAAATGATCAATTACTGAGGCCAATTTTCGTGTGGCGGCCATATTCTCGGTGCACAAAACTGCTTACAATTACATTTACATCAGCTGTTTGTGTTCCTTGACCAGTGGCGTACCTTCATTGTACGAGAATATGGCCGCCAGCTTGTCACACGAAAATTTGTTTCAACGTGCAGCATTGCACTTATCAGTCACCTTTCGTCCGGCGTAGTCTAACTCTTAAAACAAAAAAGTTCCTTAAGGTCTAAGCGTCAATTAAATAATGTTAAATGTCAAACATTGGCAATGACTGTTTCACAACAGCCGTACGTGCATCAGTTTATATGCCACAGAAATAGTCCAGTCAAAATAGGAAAATCAGAGGAACTAAAAATACTAGTTCCAATTTTTTCAGAAATGTGTAGGGAGAGGTTCCCTGAACAAGAAAAAATAACGTCCCTCCAAATTCCGGAGTCGCAGAGAAAGGGGGGGGGGGGCTTTAAACGACTCATTTTTCAGTTTTTCGCTTTTAACTGAAAGTGGTGCGTTACAATGAAAAAGTTCTTCAGTACAGAATGAAAGCTTATTAAAATTGCTACAAGTTTGGTTATATACATCTTTACGAAAAACTGAACCGTTTTCGTGCTACCGGCTCCGGAAAGGTGGTAATTTCTAAACAAAATTGTTTTTCACTCACGTTTTTCGTATTTTTTTGGCTTCTAAATCCTCCCCCGGTCATTTTAGGGGAAAATCGTCACAATAAAACCTGTACAGCATTAACATCCCTCTAGTCCGAACCTGAAAAATGAGTAGTTTAAAGCCCCCCCCCCCCTTTCCTGCGTCTCCGGAATTTGGAGGGACGTTATTTTTTCTTGTTCAGGGAACCTCTCCCTACACATTTCTGAAAAAATTGGAACTAGTATTTTTAGTTCCTCTGATTGCCCATTTTTGGTCTAAATTGGCTGGGCTATACTAGATCAAAAGTTACAGCCATTTGAATTTTCTTTCGAAATTGGTTTCTAGTCTATAAGTTTTGATTGAGAAGTCTAATCGAAAAAGTACGAATTGTTTTGGATTCTACGCACCAAAGTTAATAAGAAAAAGTGTTTTCCCGAAAAATTTTGGTGCAGTCGATTTTTGGTAAAAAAGGAGGGTTATACACTGCCTTTTTTTGAACCCCGAAAAAAAATTGTCTCAGATCGATCCGGAAAAATTTGACTGGGCTAAAATATACACAGACTAGAACGCCAATAGGTAAGTATGCGCTAGAAGAAAATTACACCACTGTACTCTTCTGAGCTTGCGTAGTGCGTGAACTTATAAATCCTGTCACTGAACTGTGTATATTTCCAGAAATTCCGAATTAATTGTGATAGAATGTACACAGAACACAAATACCTAAATTATATAGAAATATATTAACTATTAATGCATTAAATAACACACAAAAAAACAACAAACTTGAACTACACGTACCCGATGCTATCTCGACGACAGCTCAAACCAAGATTACTGTAACGTTCATACTCTCGAAACGTTGCAGACAGCTTTTCTCTTGTTCTAAAAAGACATCGCGCGATTGCCAGCTCTTAAATATGTGTGCATCATCTTAGGTTGTATATACAGGGTGGAACCCATCAAATTTCGAATTATAATCGGGAAAATTTTAGTACGAAATTTACCCCACAAAGTGTAAACGTGACGATCAAGACCAAGTACACTTGTGACCTTTGATACTATTCATATTTCTATAGTCGCGGGTGCCTTGTTGCCATGGACACACAAGGCCCGCTGAAAGTACATAGGAGAGTCAAATACAAACTAATCAAACATTCCTCTGACGTCATATACTTTCGTCGTTGTGATAGTGGCTTTAAACTGAAACTCCCCGTTGTCTATACAGAGTGATTGCGGTTTATAGGCCTATGTGTGCACGCAACAAACTGTAATTCGAAATCGTTGACGTTGTTTATTTAACGAAATTAGTAACAATTTCATTAGCCGTTGTTGCTATAGGAGACGTAAAATTAATATAGATTCCTATTCCTGAACTTGACAGTGCAAGTTTACACCGCCAAATTTTGACCGTGTTAAACGTAAATTGCGTGCGTAAAGAGCGGAAATGTTATTGATTTTAGTTGTGTGACATCGGTTTTTGAGAAAGTAGGCGTCGATCACAAAATCTGTTCTCACTGTGGTTCGCACAATGTCGATTTTGAAAAGGAAAAGGTGGTAGTATCTCCCCCTTCCCCCTCCAACATTTCCAAAATTTGAAAAATTTCAGATTGGACGACTCGGTCGTTTTGCAAACCATCAACATCGAGGAGTCGGCTTTGCTACAAACAAATCCGTCGTTGCTACAGCAGCAGATACTCTTAGGACCCGTCATCGACGATGGAAAGCACATACTCGAAAATTCCCAAATACAAATCATGAACAATTCGAATATTTTAGCAACAGATCCGGCCGGCCATTCGAACACGTTCATAGTTCTACCGCAGAACGGCGAGGGCGGCAGTGACACGCAAACGATCCTTCAGAGTATTCCCGTGTATTTGCTCGTGCCGAGGGAGCAGTCGGTGAAGCAGCCCGACGTTAATCCGACGGCTAACACGCCGATCCTAATAAAGGACGTGAGAACTGTCAAGCACGAGGTGGAGGAGGAGGACGTTCGCAGGTACACCGAAACCATATACTTGGACAGCATGGACGAAGACCCCCTCCTGCCCGATCCCGACGTGAAAGCGGACGGCGCGATCAATCCGAACGACTGGAAACACCGTTCGTTGTACAAGTGCGATTTCCCCGGTTGCCCTAAGATGTTTCTGTACCCGCACGACCGTAAGGTCCACAAGGACTCGCACATTTTCCCCGCGGGTACCGAATACAAGTGCAGCATTTGCAATATGTCATTTAAGCAGGCGATCGATAGAAATAAACACGTCGAGTCTCATTCGATCCCGAGCACGCACGTTTGCTCGTTCTGTAAGGCCAGCTTTCCGTATTACACGACTTTAATACAACACATAAACAACACGTGTTGCCTTAGCAAGTGCGTCAAGTGTCGATTTTGCAATATACCGTTTGCCAACAGAGAGGACGCACGTCAGCACGAGATAAAGTTACACATCAGTTATAGTAAAGAGAAACTGGCTAGAGCGCGAAGGCCCATGCGACATGCACGAACTCCTGTCGATACGGATAATGTAATTGTGTTAGATTGAAATCGGTCAAGTTTGTGCAAATTGGAAGATGAAAAAGTGTCATGTAATTTTGAGGTTATGTCGGCACCTTTGAATCGGCTCGCAATCGCTTCGATTGTGCAGCTCCCTTAAAAATAAGTGTACAATAACTGTAAGATTCCGATTATGTAGAGTTAAATAATGTTTCAGATGTATTGACTAAGTTTTGAATAAATTGTTAATTACTGGGTGTCCAGCTCCCAACTAAAAATAGAATTTTATTTTTGAAGGGGTGCAGGGTGTTATTAAATGAATCTAAGTGAGAGTAAAGACTGTTTATTATCACAATGTAGTCTTTTAAGACACATTTTTACATAAATTCGGTTAATATCCTCTCCATAAAAACATAACCTCTGACATTTCTTAATTTCTTTCTATAAAGTTCTACCAACTTAAAGTAACTAAAATGAAATATATATATACAGGGTGCTACCTAAAACCATTGCTACTATATAAACAAGAGTTCGGATTATATGGGAAGAATTCTTATGGTTTTCAATAGTTGAAATTATAAAGAGTACATGCTTTTAGTGTTAAGAGACATGAGTAATAGTCATGTTTTACTTTCCCTAGACAAATTTATTATCTGGATTTGAAAATTGATCATATATCACCTCAGCAGGAACTACACCCTGGGCGTTTACCAGGGATAACATACCTAATCAAAATCTTAAAATATGTAAAATACATTTATTTCGTATTTAATTAACCAGACCATCCACATTTGGGCTTGTGGGTATTTTGTCGAGAATTTTATGGCCTTTTAAAACAATGTGTCACTATCTATGGGGTCTGCACTGCATATTATAATTTTAAAGTGAGGGTTGCTCGTGGTACGGGGGTAAATGATAAAACGAAAGTAAACCTTCCATTATAAACTTTCCCCTAGCTATATCTAAATGGTAGTTTTTGCAATTTTTGTTATTTTGCCAATTACAACAGGCAGTTTATTTTGGTGGCGTAAGGTCCTGCATAATTGGAACACGGAGGTATATCCCATTTTGTGAAGGATGATTCAAAATGATGAATAAATGAATAAATTTATTATTGCATTATATTAAGAAAAATTCAGTTCAGCAACTAATCAAATGACTATTTCTAATTCAATTATCTTCTAACACACACTACTGAATTAACATTTAACTTGTTTTAATTTGATCCTTCTAAAAACGGTTTGTCCCCTAAAAAGGTGGCCTTTAAGACATTGTTTATTATTTGTTCCGTAATCACAATGAGCACATTTAAAATGTTGAGAATCAATCTGTTTGAAAATGTGTCGTTTAAAGGACTATTTATAATTTGTCTGGTAATCACAATGAGCGCATTTAAAATCTTTAGAATTGGTATGTCGTTTAAAGTAGTGTTTGTCATTTGTCTCAAAATTACAATTTAGTACATTTGAAACGTTTAGACAGTTTATGTTTTAAGAGGTGTCGTTTAAGAGAAGAGTTGTAATGTGTCTCATAATCACAATTAACACATTTAAAATCTTTAGACAGTTTATGTTTTAAGAGGTGTTGTTTAAGAGAAGATTTGTGATGTGTCTCATAATCACAATTAACACATTTAAAATCTTTACACAGTTTATGTTTTAAGAGGTGTTGTTTAAGACAAGATCTGTGATGTGTTTCATAATCACAATTAACACACTTAAAATCTTTAGACACTTTATGTCTTAAAAGGTGTAGTTTAAGGCAGGATTTGTCATGTGTCTCGTAATCACAATTAGCACATTTAAAATTTTTAGAATTGGTATGTTTTATAAGGTGCTGTTTAAAGTATTGTTTGTCATTTGTCTCGAAATTACAATTAGCACATTTAAATTCTTTAGACAGTTTATGTTTTGAAAGGTGTCGTTTGAGACAGGACTTGATATGTGTTTCGTAATCACAATTAGCACATTTAAATTCTTTGGAATTGGTATGTTTTAAAAGGTGTTGTTTAAAGTAATATTTGTCACTTGTCTCAAAATCACAATCAGCACATTTAAATTCTTTAGAATCGGTATGTGTTAAAAGGTGTCTTTTAAAAGTGAATTTGTTATTTGTCTCATAATCACAATTGGCACATTTAAAATCTTTAGAATTGGTATGTTTCAAGAGATGTCGTTTAAAGTAGTGTTTGTCATTTGTCGCAAAACCACAATTAGCACATTTAAATTCTTTGGAATTGATATGTTTTGAAATGTGTCCTTTAATGTATTTTTTGCTACTTGTCTTGTAATCACAGTTAAAGCCTTGTGAAACACTATGCTTTAAAAGATTTTGTTTAATTTGCAACTTACTAATTGTTGTGTGTTGATCGAGGTCATACACATTGGTGGGAATTTCTTCTGAAACTTCAGTTTTAATATGCCATCCACAATCAATTTGTTGTTGTACTTCTTCATTATCCAGCGATTTGGAGCACTGTGCAGTAATGGTAATTTCTTCCTCCTTTATTGTAACCAATGTTTTGTTGCTTAATAAAATGGTTCCTTGAAGGTTGAAATGGATTTCTTTTTCTTGTTTTGGTTCGATTTTCAGTGGCACATAATTTCCGTCCATGTCTGTTATCCAGAAAGTTTTACAATTATCTGTTTGTAAGTTTGTTTATCAAAAATAAAAGTTTGGTCTATAAGCTCTGGCTGTAGCTAATGTACCGATAAACGTAATGGTCAACGTCTCACTTCCAGTGCCGGAGTTAGGGTTTTTATTTTATACCGTACATGCATATTACATATGAGCCTTGACTGATAAAACCTAATCTGCACAAAGGCCTGCTATTTTTTAGATAAATTTACGATGAGATTTCTCCACTAACACCTTTTTGCTCGTCTTACTTTATTATATAAACCCCAAAAAATAAGAATATGGTACAATGTGTGACGATTTCTTTGTGCAGTAATATACACAGTGTGAGGATATGAAGGTGGCAAGTAGATCAATCAGTACGTGAAAAATCACGATTCTGAAATATGGGGGAAGAAGAAGGGTCAATCTTATATTTCGCCCTAAGCCCATTTCATAATATTGAGACAACTTCAAAGATATGTAGCCGCCGATCCTTAAACAGATGTTAAACTTTAATTCAATTCCATTTTATGAAAGCTCTCATTTTTGCTCGAATGTATGGACGCAAATTTTTGAGAAGCATCATTGCTCCGTTCATTCTCATTGTGTGAACACGGAGACTAGATACTGAGATGTACATTTTGTTGTCGTTTTCAGCTAACATGTGATGTAATTTGCAAAATACTAATTGTTAACTACGTAACATGCACGAATGTGTGTGGCTTGTTGTATGTAACCAATAACTTCCTACTGTGAGAGGAAGTTCGGACGCTAGAATCGAAACGTATTCTAGACCTAAGGCACAAAAGGATCCGGAACCCTAGAACATTTAACTTTAGTGGCGTAGTATCCGCAACCTAGGCCGCCATACCCATGGGCGCCAACCTAATTCTATGTTTTGTATGTTTATATGTATTTATATTATACTATTATGCTACCTATAATTTTTCTTCTTTAAATCTTATGAAACTCGCGATTATCTGTACCTATTCGTCAAATGTTGTGACTCTGGAATGAGGCAAATGCGTGTCGAGTATATCAAGTCTATCGGACGGATTAAAATCAAGTAATGGTTAGTATTTGCCTTATGTCATTCGTTTTGTCAAGTATGGTCTAGTCCTCTGCCTTTTTTCCAAATTTATCTAATTTCATTAATTATGTGCTGTATAACGCTTAGGTAGAGTTGGCGCTGCATTTTCTCAAACCCGCAGTAGCTTTGGGATTATGGTATATTGCACTATCTATAAACGGCCAACTATCTCAATTACCAATGGTTGAGCGCCACTCAACTTCTAATTTAACTCTTCCCGTATGAAATTGAGAAGATACAGGGGTAGCAATAATAGTACAATTCAATTCAGGTACCAAAAGAAGTACTCAGTGGCGGCTCGTGGGACATGAAGTAGGTGAGGCTCACCACACATGCCCATTTTAAAAATAATTGAAAAGAGATTATTCGATATTTCTATTATTATCTCTCTCTTAAATCGTTTATAAAAATAATTTATCCAGGGTAAGTAGATAAAATAAATATATTTTAAAATATATAATATTATATTTTAAATAACCAGAATAAATGAATAAAGGTAATTCAACATCCCTTGGGGGGAAAAAAATAGACAAAAAACAAAGATAACTCTCAACTATTCAGTTTTTGTATAATAATTCTATTCTACCTCTTTCATCACGCAACTATTATGAATATGTATAGATTGAGGATGCACTAAACTGGTCCAACAAACATTTTCAATTGATAGTAAAGCTTTCCAATAGAGACATACAACATCATGTTGAGGATTTCATAATTGAATAATTGAATGGAATAAGAATATAAGATTTTCAGTAAGCGTAAAACTAAAGTCGAATGCACTGCGGAGTGCGACTGAGTGAATGCCCTGAACGAATGGAAATAAAAGACGGAATCAAGCAATATGCCTGTAAAAAGTGTACAGTAAACTAAGGCAATCGCAAGTAGTGCTATTCTCGAAAAGCACGTAAATCATAATTCAAACCGCCAAATCTCGAAACATGCGTTAGAGAACGCCGAGTATTAGCACGACCCATGTTCACATCAAATCAAGAGGCTCGATATTCGAGCTTCATAGCGCGTAAAGTATGATCAGGAGATTAACACTGAGCACACCTAAGAAGAAACATATAAGCTCTGAAATTTGAGCTTAACGTTGATTAATTTACACTATTCACGTATTACAGTATTGTAAAGAAATTTTAGATTCTTGTAATATTATTATTTTGCGAATGCTGATGTATAATGAGCTAAACTGACAAATTGGAAGTAGGCCTCAGCCTCAACTTGCCCACCCTGCCGAGCCGCCACTGGAATGTACTGGTTTATTCACTCTCATATAACTAACACTAGGGTTTTGCACACAACATAACAAAATATCATTTATTTATTGTAATTCGTCTTAAAAGGTGTCGTTAGTACATATGCACAATTGAGTTTAGACACTATGTTTAAAAGGTGTAGTTTAGAACAGGATTTGGAATGTTGTCTCATACATCACAATTAAGACACATAATCTGTTCCATTGTGTGTGTTAAAAGGTGTCGTTGAATGTGTTGTTTGTCATTTGTCTCAATATCGCATTAGCACATTTAAATTTTTTAGAATCGGTAATACTTTAAAAGGTGTCGT